TCCTCCTCATCCTGCATAACTGAAACTGCACACTCACAGAACAATGCCCTATTTCCCAGACCCCAGCTCCTGGAAACTACTGTTCTACTCTCTGATTCACTCTGGAATCCACTGAGATGAGGTACATAGAGTAGTCAAACTCATAGAATCAGAGAGTAGAATGTCTAACAAGAGAAAGTATCTGCAACACTTCTTCCCAAATATTGGTCTATATCCACCAAACACATACGGACTATGAGGGCCAGACTTCTGTCATCAGTTCATGTTCACCCTTTCCACCTGTCAGTTCTGCATTTTCAAACTTCCCCATGTATTTCTAGAAAGATCCACATAGTCCTCACCTGCCCTCTACAGGGAGAAGGGAACATCATGGACAGAGAACAGGGAACATGGTCTTGTTCCAAAGCTATCAGAGCTTGCATGTCCCCTTCACTCCTTGTACATCATTCCTTGGACTCTGCTCTATCTTTAGAGGTCACTGGCTCAAGTCAGTTCACTATGAGACAGCTGGGAAAGTGCCACAACTTGTAGCTCCACTCCCTGATGACTGAACTGACCTCCAGGCTTGACTCTGGTCTCCCCTGTGTTATTTCTGCTGAAGTACTCAGTCCCAGGCCAGGCTTCCCAGTACCCAAAGGGATTAAGGACATTGGGAAGTTCCATCATCCATCTCTAGGATATCCTTGGAAGGGGAAGCTGAAGAGAAAACATACCCTAGGGGGCAAAGTAAGACTGAAACTAAAAAGATTCCAGCACTACATGCTCCAGGTGAGGACCACAGGGTGGGCCAGGCAGGCAGTTGGAGAGGGAGAGACTCAGAGAGGCACCAGGGGCTGTGACTGCTGGTCCAATATTTTTCCATGACCCAATGCTGCTGCTCAATTCACATTTGGGAAAGTCTGTGCTTCTCCCACATACAGAAGGCAGCCTCACAATCTCTGAGCCCTCAGATTGCCATGCATCTGTCTTGTAACACATACACCTGCCATGGACTCTTAGAGACATGGGTGTGCTGAGAGGTAGGAAATGCCAACTCTGATTGAAAAATGTCTTAGGAGGAATCAAACGTGCCGCACAGTACAATCTTCTCTCTGTTATCTCCACAGTGGAGACTCCCAAGCCCTCCATCTCCAGCAGTAATTTAAACCCCAAGGAGGCCACGGAGACTGTGGTCTTATCCTGTGATGCTGACACTCCGAACGCAAGCTACCTGTGGTGGATAAATGGTCAGAGCCTCCCTATCAGTCCCAGGTTGCAGTTGTCTGAAAACAACAGGACCCTCATTTTATTTGGGGTCACAAAGTGTACTGCAGGACCCTATGAATGTGAAATGAAGAGCCCAGTGAGTTCCAGCCGCAGCGACCCAGTCACCCTGAATCCTGTCTGTGAGTATGTTCTGTTCCTCTGTGAGCCAGGCTGCCATCTCAAATACATATGGCCAGAGGCCAGGCCTCCCAGTCCCTCTCAGGGGCAAGTACAAAGACCTTTACCCCTACACATCAAAGCTGGCCATGACTACAAAGAGTAGGCTTCAGCTTGATCAACAATGGGAGAGAAGAGGCTGCTCCTGTCACAGGAGACTCAGGGTCCACAGCTTATGAAGGGAGAAACAGGTGAATGTCTCAGGCTCCAGAACAGTGAACACAGCAAGGATTTGGCTGGGATTTCAGTGTTGTGACTAGGCTCACAGGGTCACTGTGGCCTTTTCACAGACCAGGATTTTCCTTTCCCTCTGACAACATCAGCTGTGACTTTATTCTCTTTGCTCCAGATGGCCTAGATACTCCCACCATTTCTTCTTCATACACCTATTACCATACAGGGGAAGTCCCCAAGCTATCCTGCCTCACAGACTCTCACCCACTGGCAGAGCTTTCTTCCCCGATTGATGGGAAGTTCCAGCAATCAGCACAAGTGTTCTTTATCCCCCAAATCACTAAAACATATAGAATGGCCTATGTCTGTTTCATCCATAACCCAGTTACTGATGGAACAAATCTCATCATTAAGAGCATCATAGTTCCTGGTAAGTGGATCCATGGAGCATTGGCCATATGTTTTCCAGTGAAGTCTATCTGGCTATCAAAGAAGAACCACCTGCCTTCTGCAGAGGGAGAAGGAAATAAAAAACCCAGGACAGGGAATATGTTTCTGCTCCAAAACGACCAGCTTTTGCCTGTCCCCTTCACTCTTTCTAGATCATTCCTTACACTCTGCTCTATCTTTGGAGGTCACTAGCTCAAGAAAGTCATCATGAAACACCTGCAGAAAACTGCCCCACCTTGTGCCTCCACTGCCTGATGACTGAACTGACCTCCAGGCTTGACTCTGGTCTCCCCTGTCTTATTTCTGCTGAAATATCCAGTCCCAGGCCAGGCTGCTCAGTATCTTCAGGGTTTCAGGGCAATCAGAAGTGCCATTATTACTCATCTCTAGACTGTCCTTGGAAATGGAAGCTGCAGAGAAATCACATCTAAGAGGGCAAAGTAGGATGGAATTTGGAAGGGGCCCAGCAGTTGCACATTCCAGGTAAGGAACCCAAGGTGATCCAGTCAGTCAACTGATTAGGGAGAGACTGGGAGGTGTAACAGGGGCTGTGGCTCCCACTGATGTGTCTGTCCATGACCCAACACTGCTGCTCAATTCACACTTGAGAAAGTCTATGCTCCCTAAGACAGAGCAGGCGGCCGCACAGTCTTTGAGCGCTTAGATGATCATGCATCTGTCTTGTGACACACACACCAGCTATTGACTTTCAAGTACTCGGGTGGGCTGAGAGGTGGGAGATGCTAACTCTGATTGAAGGATGCCTGTGGAGGAATCAAAGGTGCCACACAGGACAATCTTCCCTCTGTTATCTGCCCAGGGGAGCTTCCCAAGCCTACATCACCAGCAACAACTTCAGCCCCATGGAGAATAAGAATGTTGTAGCCTTAACCTGTGAACCTAAGACTCAGGCCTACATCTACATGTGGTAGTTAAATAGTCAGAGACTCTCGGTCAGTCCCAGGCTAGAGCGACCCGGTAAAAACAGGATCCTCATTCTAGCCAATATCACGAGAAATGACACAGGTCCCTATGAATGTGAAATATGGGACCGAGTTGGTAGCATCTTCAGTGACCCAGTCACCCTGGATGTCCTTTGTATCTTTGGTTCCTCTGTGGACCAGGCCACCAGCAAAACTCCAAGCGACCAGAGGCCAGGCATCTCAGTCTCTCTCACATCCAAGTACAGATACTTTTATTTCTGGACACCAGAGCTGGCCATGACTCCCTGCCCTGGGAAAACTTGGCTAGGCACAGCCTTAAGTAAGAATATAAAGGGAGGGGCTGCTCTTGTCATGGGAGACTTGGGGTCTACAGCCTGTGATGGGAGAAACACGTGAATACCTCATGCCTCGGCTCAGTGAACACAGAAGGGGTTTGGCTGGGCCTTGAGGGTGTGTCTTGGCTCAGAGGGACACTGGAGTCCCTTTGAGAGATCAGGAGCATCCCCTTTCCTCGGACGACATCACCTGTGGCTTTATTCTCTTTACACCAGATGGTCCACACGACCCCAGCATTTTCTCTCCATTCACCAATTACCGTTCAGGAGAAAACCTCTTCTTGTCCTGCTTCGTGGACTCTAACCCACCGGCAGAGTATACTTGGACGATTAATGGGAAGTTTCTGCAATCAGGACAAGAGCTCTCTATCCCCAAAATTACTACAAAGCATAGCGGGATCTATGCTTGCTCTGCTCGTAACTCAGTCACTGACAGCGAACGTTCCACATTCCAGAAGATCAAAGTCTCTCGTAAGTGGATCCCTGCATCATTGGCAATAGGGTTTTAGGTTTTACTAGCCATATGACACCAGGAAAGTTGTTACACTACTCTAAGCTTCTGTCTTTTCGTCGGCAAAATGGAAATAATGTCTACCTGACAGGATTATTTTGTGAATTAAATAAGGTACAGGTAAAGTATTTAGCACAGGGCCTGGCACATAGGACGTGCCCCTCAACAGTACCTATTTCCATAT